CCGCCCCTGGCGGCGATGCATGCTTGAATTCGTCGAGGCAAGGAGTGGTAGAGGTTCCTAATGTCATCCTGCGACACATTCTGCCAGGCATTCATCAGTTATCTCTCCAGATCTGCGATATTTTGTGGTGACCGAATCTGGCAGCCTACCATGTCCCAGACATGTTCGATTGGTGAAAAGTTTGGTGACCTTGGTGGCCAAGGAAGAGTATCAACCGCACGGAGACAGTCCAGAGATATGCGAGCGGTTTGTGGCCTGGCATTATCTTGTTGGAAAATGGCCCCAGGATGACGTGCCATGAAGGGTAATGCAACCGGCCGCAGGATGGTATCAGCATATCGTTGAGCTGTTAAAGATGTAGGGAGGATGACTAAAGATGATCTGCTGTCATAAGAAATAGCACCCCACACCATCATAGCAGGGGTTATGGTGTATGTCTTTGTAAAACAAAGGCTGATTGAGACCGCTGGCCCCGTCCTCTCCAGACACGAACATGGTGGTCCTATACGATGCCAGTCTGATGGCAGCCATGATGATCGACTGCGCTCCAGATCTGCGATATTTTGTGGTGCCCGAATCTGGCGGCCTACCATGTCCCAGACATGTTCGATTGGTGAAAGGTTTGGTGACCTTGGTGGCCAAGGAAGAGTATCAACCGCACGAAGACAGTCCAGAGATATGCGAGCGGTTTGTGGCCTGGCATTATCTTGTTGGAAAATGGCCCCAGGATGACGTGCCATGAAGGGTAATGCAACCGGCCGCAGGATGGTATCAGCATATCGTTGAGCTGTTAAAGATGTACGGAGGATGACTAAAGATGATCTGCTGTCATAAGAAATAGCACCCCACACCATCATAGCAGGGGTTATGGTGTATGTCTTTGTAAAACAAAGGCTGATTGAGGCCGCTGGCCCCGTCCTCTCCAGACACGAACATGGTGGTCCTATACAATGCCAGTCTGATGGCAGCCATGACGATCGTCTGCGACGCCACTCCAGACGACTCCGGCGATGCTGTAGGTTCAAAGGTAAACGTCTTAGGCCTCTGTGAGCGGTAACCCCGCCTCAGACGAACACCGTGAGATTGTGGACGGTACTACGGGAGGTATAAATGTGGCTGTAGTGCGTTGAATATTCGACAATGATACCGTTGGGACGGTTCGGGCCTGGCGAATAATCACCCTATCCTGCTTCCTATTTGTGCTCCTTGGCCTTCCAGAGCCTTTATTTCTTCGACAATTTCCTAGTAGCAACCATTGCTGCCAACATCTTCTCACAGCAGTGTCTGTACGCTGCGGGTGGCAGCCTATTGCTCGGTATGAATACCCAGCTTCACGCAATCCTACAAAGCGACACGTTCGAAGTCGTTTAGTTGTGCAAGGTTTTCGATATCGTCGTAATGGCATTTTTAGTTGCTTCTTTACGGAATTACAATGGCAGCAACAAAAAAAGATAAATTTTCCGCCTCTGTTACTGGTTTTGTACTTTGCGAATTGCGCGCTATGATCGCAACTCCTGCTCATTTGCATGTTCGATCAAGATGTTTTTGCATACCAAATTTCGTCACGATCGCAAAAGTCCTTGTTGGTGCTTCGATTTTTTTGCAAAAGAGTGTATTTCTGACCAAGGGGCAGTTCTGTTTAACACTAACTTTTTTCAAGTTCCAATCTTTTGATATAGAGACCCTAATATATCAAAATCTGACTAAGGGACAGCCGCTTTCGTAACTGAAGGGCTAAGACCACAGAATACGACCTGGTTTGAGTTCGATTCCACACGAAAGGGCTGGCTGCAGGGTTGATTGTTTTCGGTTTACCAACCAGTTTCTTCGGAAAGTCCTCCACGAAGGAATCCCTCCTCTCAGGCAGATAACCCTTAGTGGTTTTGCCGTATTTGAATAATTTAGCTTGAATAAGGGGCAAATACTAGAAATTTTTAAAAATTATAATAACAAATGAAATTGCACCGTTTAAGTATAGAGGTAAGGTTAATGTCAGCTGTTTTGCACCGAAAATATATGGCAAGAGAAAAGAACACGTTTTATGATTAAAGTAACAGCCCTTTCTGCCAAACATATTGTGTAAAAATTATGATCTTTTTCAAATTATGAAATCAGTATTTTAGTCTGAAGAATGAATAATATAATTACAAGTTTCAAAAACTAACCAAAAGCTTGTCTATACTGTGTGATTTTTCTTTAAAGCTTTTCTGAAAACTGCGTACAGCCTTGTCAAATGAACCGGATAATATAAATTAAATTTACAGTTGATTACACGAATTCTTTTCAAATGCCAGTAACAATAAAATATTCACTAATGAGTGACTGCAAATGAAGAATTTACTAATTAAAAGTAATAAACTTAGTTTCCACTTTAAAAAAAAATCTTGTTAATTGAAAGCTTCAGATTAAAATACTTTTGAAGATTCTTTCAAGTGAATAAAGTTAGCTGTATTTGTTCATTTTGTCTTCCCTTGAAAAGCTATTTGCCATTAAAAATTTAAAGTTGTATTAATACGAGAAAAAAATGTAATTAAACCTGTTATGTTGAAAGTAATTGTACCTGTTTTGTCGTATTTATTGAATATGCCTTTCCTTAGGAAACTTACAATAAGAAACACCTCCGTACAAGGATCAAAACATCAAGTTCTTTTATTGTTCCTTACTGCGAATACTAATATACGCGTAAAGAAATTATGCTAAAATACTGAAAATATCATCGGCCAGATAGGAAACAAGACTTCGTTCTCCATTGGGTTTAGTTAGACTTAAAACACCCAAAAGAAAAAAAAATTAGTAACAGCTTTTAAAACATAAAAGTTATACTTAATTGTGAGCTGATATACATAGTGTCCACAGAAGTCCTTACTGGGCTTTATTTTCGCAACCGCTGGTCGTAGACATATACTTAAAAAAATGTTTTAAACGACTCAAAGATTCGCGTTTTCGTATTTTTAAATTTAAAGAAATTAATTTTGTTATAATTACGAATCTAACTTTTTGCACGTTGCTACGGTCTCTACATTTATATCCTGGAAAATTTTGTACTCCTTGTAAAAAATAAAACACAAAACATATGACCTTCCATTCGACAAAAATTCACCTTGATGTTTGATATTAAATTGAGGAATCATATTCAGGAACCGTACACAAATTGAAGGGCGGCATGTTTGCGTTTCTACGTAACTAAAAATAAAGCATTAGTTAGAAAAAGGTTTCTGATATTAAGTAATTAATTACATGACGAGCGTATCTTTGCAGATTTTTACGAAAAATATTGATCAGTATAAAAATGATGATCAATATAAAATATTTCAAAATTATGATCTTATTTACAGAATTTTACAGAATTCATGTTCTAGAAAACAGTGGCAGGCTTCTGTATTGGCACGCAGCCATCTCGTAATATTATTTAGCTTAATTACAAATAAAAAGTATGTCTACTTTAATGGTTTTTGTTACGATTACCAGATTATTAATCTAAAGCAATAAAGCTTAATGAGAATATTAAAAACCTATTTTTAGATCTCAAAAACTTATAAATTACTTTTGTGAAAATTCTTTCGGCATACCAAATGTATCAAAATTATAAATAAAGACACTAGTAAATCACAAAAGAATACCATTGAGTGGCATTTAATGAGGGAAATTCAATCTCGTATTATTCTAATTGATTTATCACCCGGCCTCTCAATGCAAATTCAAAATAATGTCAGATATAAAACAAATTTTGAATTACATATCTCAGCCAAACTTTTATAGTAGAATTTGTATGTAATGTGTCACACTTTTGTGTTTTAGTTTAGTTCTTATAACGAGCCTCCCAGTCGGGAAAGTCGTTATTGACTCTGACTGCTGTATCGAATCCTGGAGTTCCGGAGATCCGGGTTCGAATCCTGGAGAAGGCTTGATCATCATAGGAGGTAACGGTGGCCGTATATTAAGTGCCTGCATAATAAATAACCACCACTTCTGGTCACTTAGTAGTGGTCAAGCACTAAAATGGCTAGTGCCTGAATTAAAAAAAAGGAAGGGGGGGAGAAAGGAACGAACTTCTTATAAGGAGTAAAACATTTTCCTAAAAGATAAGAATGACCCGAAGGAATGTGTGAAAAGTTAAATTTCGTATTTTATGCAAAATTAATTTTTTTAATTTAGAAATACAAAAATATGAATCTTTGCATTCGTTAAAACAATTTTTAATTGGAAATATGTGTCTATACCCAATGGCTGTAAAAGTATAGGTCGGGTAAGGAATTTAGTGGATACGGTGTGTATTGAAAAGGAAAACAAACAAGTGGAATACAATCAGACGCCTAATTAGGATGAAATATCGTAACCAAAAGGGAATTATAAAAAATGAGTTAAAAACATATTTGTTACGAAACGAATCGTGCAGTGATGCAATGAAATCACAGCGGCTTTGTGCTTTGCATTCCTAGTCATTAAAAGAAAAACGTCTGGGGGGGAAACGTTTTTAGTTGCAAATTTTTAAGTTTTTTTATTATTTGAATTTTTTTGTCTGACAGCTAATAAAACAAGAAATCTTTTTTGAATGCCTGTAGATTCTTTCAAATGACTGTTGAATTAATTAAAATATTTTTCTCTCAATCTGATAAATTTTATTACTTTTTTTGGAACGGTATCCTATGGAAAAGTACACCACAAGAACTCCTTATGATAAATGTAATTAGGAAAGAAGAAATTGCTTTTAGCAAATCTGAAATTTTGATACTAAATTTAAAATTCTGTGCATCGTGATCATTTTTTTAATTCTTCTGTGAGAGAGTTTATATTTTGTAATTAATTACTTGGTTTTTATTACAGCCTTATTTATTGACTATCTAGTGACATTTTAGGGTATTGTGTAAATTATATTTTAACAAGTCATCTCTCAATCAGCCTTCAGATTCCAGTATTTTTAAAGATTTTCAATAGTTCTTTCACTGTGAAAATTTTCTCGACAACGTGATTTCTCAACACGTGTTTTTATTCTCTTTTAGAAATACATGAAGCCATTGAAAAGCCCAGAATACAGTGGGATTGTGGAGACAGGTCTTGTTGATGAAATTTTCTTCCAAATCCCTGAAATCCTGAATCACCATGAAGGATTTCTTGAGGTGCTCAAACAAAGGCTTGTAAACTGGGACAGCAAACAGAAAGTTGGAGACGTTTTCGTTGAAGCGGTAAGCATGGCTTCGAAATAATCCAAAAATATATACGTATTTCTTTGTTGTGTTAACCGTCTCGAAATGTCGCTATCTTAATTCCTTATAAATTGATAGGACTTGATTTTCGCAATCTAACTCGATTATATAGAGCACTTGTACAGTGCGATGAACACAAAAATCGTAAGCATTTTTAGTTTTTACTTATTGGGATGCAATTTTAACTCATTACGCTTATAACGCTTAATGGCTATAAACATAATATATTTTAACGGTCCCATGGCTTTTATATTAGCAAATTCAAATGTATTCCATTAAAAATTCACAGGGCAGAAGTCCTTATCCAGGGAGTTATATACTTGTTAAGCATTTAGTTTTCGTTTACGAATACAAAAGATATACTTTGTAGAGACATTAGGATTTTTTGAAAGCAAGAGAAGTGAAAAATTAGCAACGGGAATCGAACCGCGGATTTCTGGAATGTACACCCAGCGTGCAGACCACCACACCACGAAATCATGCCGCCAAGAAGGCGGGTGAAATACCGTACATACTCCCCCTTTCAAAGGGCAACTGGGGTTTTTAGGGAACCCAATCGCCAGATCCGGGGTGAGGAGAATCATCATCCAACACCCTTTTAGTTCGGGCGCCACTGTAGAGACATTGGGTATTTTTTTAAAGCAGGAGATGTGAAAAATGAGCAACGCCTTCACCGGGAATCGAACCAAGGGCTTCTGGTTTATGCGCCCATCGTGCAGACCACCACACCACGAAGGCATGCCAAGAAAGCGGGAAAAATACCTTATAACTTTTGGTCTTTATCAACATATTCTGTCCTTTTTCTTGTTTAATTTATAAAACACTTCAAAAAATAATCTAACTTTAAATAAGAAGTAAATGTATTTTTCGAGTTCTGTAAAGGAAGGGGGGGAATGATCGACAAGCAATGATGAAAGGGGTGCATGGAGCAAAACAGTTTGAGAACCAGTGGCATACAGACTGGGTTGGCATTACAGTATGCGTAAGTGCAGTCTGTCCACTATACTGTTTATTCTTGGTTAGTTCAAGAGGATCTTAAAAATCAAGGATACGGTCTCTCGTCATCCCCCCCCCAAAAAAAAGAAAAAAATGAATCTATATTTATATATGTGGTGTATGGCGTTAAAAAACTTTTGCTTATTGCAATAATGTTGCAAATATTTACAAATACGATAAGGATGCATAGTAAATTGAATGTATTATGAAATATATCGACTACATAGTTGCTAAAAACAAAATGAAAATTTTAATTAAGAAGTAAATTTTGTGTTTTCAAATTTCTCAGTTTGTTAAACAGTGTAATTTGAAAATTGAAAAGTAAATTAATTATATTTGTCAGTCGAATGGCAACATTCTGGAAATCGACTTTTAATAGCTTTATGTTATTAAAAAATCAAACCGGCCTTCACTGCTTTTGAGGAGTACCCCTATTATTCAAGCTTGAGAGAAGAGATTTATTTTTCTTTTTTACCAATCGCATTCTTTTTCAGCCCGAGTAGTTTTATACATATTTCTTCCCTTTCCTTCAGCGTACTTTTAAAAAACACCATCTGTCCGAAACGTCCCCAGACAAGATTTTCTTCCTGGGATAAATCATAACTGGGATAAAAATGGGAATGCAGTTCCTGAGTGTCTTGGATGGGTTGGTGCAGGAGGAATCAGCAGGTTCGTCCAGAAGGATGAAAGGAGAGGAATTTCTTCTTGCTGCACGGCAAGGGCCCGCTTCCGCGGCTGGAGTTGTGGTGCAGTTTCTAGCGAAAAGGTGTATGCCAGTTCTTAACCAGCCTTCATATTTACCCGATTCGGAGACGAGTGACGTTTTTCTTATTCTCGAAAATCAAACTTCACGCGAAGGGTGAACACTATCACGACGTAACCGACATTCAAGGCACAGAGATATGCAATTTGAATGACATCTCAAACAAGGACTTTCTGATAGTTTCATACGGCAGTATGAAAGTTTTGTGGGTTGTACGCAAGCGTACTCAGGGCAGACTATGTAGAACATCTTAAGCATCAAAAATTAGTTTCCTTTTTCGTAAATCCAGTCTCGGAACCTTTTGGATAGACGGTGTATATTTTATTCACTGGATCCAGTGGGCGAACAGAAATCGTATATTGATAATGAATTCTTTAATATCTCGTAGACTCATTAGGTTATTTAGAAGTAAGACATGAAAAATGAGTAATGCTCTTCCCGGGACTCGAACCTCGGATCTCTCGAATACTCGCCGAGTGTGCTGACCATGAAAGCCATGATAGCATGCATGACCACCACGAAGGCATGCAAAAAGGAGGTAGAAAATACCTTATATATTCCCACTTTTAAAGGGCAACTGGGAATTTACAGAACGATTTGAAAATGTTCGGAGTGACTTGGCCAGTGAACTTATCTGTTTTCGTGAAGTCCAGACTGCTGTTCTCTGCTTTTGTTCGCTTTATTTGTGCATGTAACTTGTAATGTTTTATTTATGCATGTAACTTTTAATGTTTTAGTTAACTCCGTGTTGTACATATGTGGTGCACGGGGAGTCTGTATGTTCTCAAAGAAAAAAAATGGGAATTAGGAGACCCAAACGCCAAATCCTGGTGGTGGAGCATCATCACGCACCGCATTTTAGTTCGGGCGCCACTGTAGAGTCTTTAGGTTATTTAGAAGCAGGAGACATGAAAAATGAACAATGCACTCGCCTCGGATCTCTCGAATACGTGCCGAGTGTGCTGACCATTACACCACGAAGGCATGCAGAAAGGAGGGAGAAAATACCTTATAGTCTCAACTTCAGTTGGAATTTCATTACTCATACTTTTTAATCCACCACTCCACTTTCCAGATAATGCCAGATGTTGTTTTACTTTTCTTGCACTTCATGACAAAATAAATTCACATTTGTTGTTTTATCTTCTAAAACTGCCTTGCAAATCAAATTCAGAAATATGGTTCAGAAAAAAAATTCTTTGCCTAACGGAAGAGGTACTCACTTCCTTAAATCAATGCTTCCCAAAAATTTTAGCATTGTGCTTCAGTTGCATATAGTTACAGTTTGTCGTATATGACGCACAAACAGCTACGCTGGTGAAGAAAAAAAAAAAGAAGAACGTTAAATAATTGTTATCTAACAAATGAAATAATAATAAATAAGTAAGCTAAATATTATTCGCATTTAATTAATAACTATAAATTAATTAATTATAAAGTCTCGTATTCTTTGGTGGCATAAAATATACGAAAAGTCTAAAGACTCTAAAATGAATTATCACTATGACTTGTAAAGTACCACTGACACTGTGTAAAGGACCCTTTTATTTAACTAGTTATAATTAAAATTTAACGAAAGACACCACGCGTGCTTACAGAAGCCAGCATTTACGGCTTAAATCAAAAGTATTAAATTTGACTTAACTAAGTAAAAGTAACTAACGGCTACAGAAACAATGTAACGCGCAAGTTGGCTGTGGTTTAAAGTCGGCGTGAAAAAAAGTTAGTTAAAGGAGAGAATAACGCAACGCCGCAGAATACTACTACGAAGAGAATAATTAGCAGCGTGGCCTTCAGCAGGCAGAGTACGCTCTGATTCTACCCTTTAAAACCTTTCTTTTATTACTTTCTCCTTTCTACCTCATTTGAATATCACGCGAGCTAGAAATTTGCATTCTGGCAGGAAAATGGGAAACGAGGAAAAGGACAGGACGGGAATTTAACATAAAATAACTGGGTGATAAACTAAACGAAACCTTACACAGTAATTTTTAATACCAATGCATAATTACATAAAAAATATCTTCAAAACTTTTCGTGATTCACAGTTTTGGAGCCAATTATAAACTTTTAAGAAATGAGCTAACGTTCAGTCTAAGTAAAAAATGTAATACTCCAAAGACTCATTAAAAACTATGTAAGTAATATATTGCTACCAACATTTTTTAATAAAACAGATTCATTATTTTATTAAGACTATTTTTTACTAAGATTATCTGGCAAACAGAGTGATTATCTGCTATTCAAGTACAGAACGTGTCCTATTTCCGGCTCAGATAAGTGTAACTCGTCCACCTTAAAAATCTCTCCGTTACGGTTTTCTTTCGTGTTTTTTAAAATACGTGAAACTTATTTTTAAATTTCTGATTTGAAATCAAACACTCAGAGTGTCTTCTCAATAATTAATAGTAGTTTTAAAGTATGTAGGTTTGTACTGTAACCAGAAACTCGTATCTAAGTCTTGCAGACCCTGCTAGATTGCTAGCGAGTTATCGCTTAGGCTAAAGCACAAATACAGAAGAAGGTTAAAATAACTTTTTTATAACATAATTGAGAGAAAATTTCAAATGTAGATAACGTACTCGTTTGAAACATTACGCATAAAATAAACTAATTAAGCTGTCTCAGAATTTTACTGGTGAATATTTTAAAGCAACTGCTATCAAGACGCTAAAGCCGGGATATAACTATTACTGTAAAAGCCCGAAGTCAGGTAAATCCCAAGTTTTACTGGTAAAACCTAGCTTTTACCAAAGTGGCTTGGTAAAAGTCCGAAGTATGCTTTAATACGATTCCATTTCGGTCTTTTACCAAGCCTTTGCGGTGAAACTTAGGAGTTATCAACGCCTTCCGGTAAAAGCCCGAAACGGAGGGATTAAAATCGAATAAGCCCCGCGCACGAAAATTTTGTCGCGACACTTTTCTGTTCTGACGCTCCTTATTCGTGCCATTTGCAGTCTAGCTTCGAGATAATTCAAACAAGCGGCTACAATCTGAAATAGAAGCAGTTTGTTTCCATTTTAATATATTTTGCTGAAAGGAAATAAGTGATATGCGGAAAGAGTTTTAAGACATTTTGTCTGACTCTCTAAAAAATAAGCAAGATAACAGCTTTTATTTATCAAATGAGAAATACACTTCTTTAATAAATGAAGTGAAAGAGTCAAAATGTATGAAGGAAAAACAAACAGGTCATTACAGAAGGTTGAAACATTGTGGT